GCCGCGGCGCGCGTGCGTGGTGCCGGCGCCGCCGGCGGGGACGGAGCAGGTTGAGCTGGATATCGAGCTGCTGCAGCTGGTGCAGGTGCGCGGTCGCTGACTTTGTTGATGTGTGCGTGCACATGTGCTTGCACGTCTTTTTGGGCGAGAGTCCGTGTCACAGGAGCGTCGTGTCACGTCCCTGTTTGAAAGCATGCAAGCTGCTGCTGCTACCGCTTCCGCTGCCGCTGCCGCTGCTGCTGCTGCTGCCGCTGCTGCTGCTGCTGCCGCTGCTGCTGCTGCTGCTGCTGCTGCTGCTGCTGCTGCTGCTGCTGGAAATGGGCCGCTGTTGGGTGTGGATTAAACAGCCCACCCGCACGCTTATCCCCACGAAACCACAGCGCGCGCCGGTGGCCGTCCCGACGCCAACAAACGGATTGCCTTCCTCCCGCTCACTCTCAAGCCGTAGCCCACAATCCGCCCACCCCACTGATGCGCCGATTAGGTCCGAGACATGGCCGGCGACGGCGGCGTGCTCAAGCGGCGCATCCGCGCCGGCCGCGGCGAGTTCCCAATCGACTGCCCCCTCAACGACACCACAGTCAAGCTCCACTACCGCGCACGCCCGCACCGCCCCGGGGCCACGGAGCTGGAGGGCGGCGGCGGCGGCGGCGGCGGCGGCGGCGGTTGGGCGTACGACAGCGCAGCGGCGGCGGGGGAGGCGACAGCGGCGGGGGCGGGGGCAGGGGCGCCCCTGGAGGTTGACACCGGGTGTGGGGAGCTGCCGGAAGCTGTGGAGCTGTGCGCGCGGCTGATGGTGCCCGGGGAGCTGGCGCGCGCGGTGGCGCAGCCGCGGTACGCGTATCAGGTGCGGGGGTGGTGTTGTGGGTTGTGGTGGGTTATCAGGGGGTTGACGGGCCCAGTGCTGGGATTTCCCTTCAAATGCTGGAGCCGGCGTGGCAGTGCAGTTCCAGGTGGTGTGGGTCCTGCTGCGCAGCACGCCTGTCGTGACCCCCGGCACGGCGGCACCCGGCGCTTCTTTGCCACGGCCAGGCGGCCCGCGTTGCAGTTATGGTGGGTGTATTCATCTTCTAATCAGCGCCACAACCAAGGCCCCCCTTAAAACCCTATCGTAACCGTGCGGTCCTCAACATCCCCCCAGGGGCGCGACGACGCGCCGGCGGGCGTGAGTCAGGATGACGTCGTCGAGTTTGAGATCGAGCTGCTGGACTTCCACAAGGAGGGACACTGGCAGAACCTCGAGTGGGCGGAGCGCTGGGCGATACTGGAGCGCCTCAAGGCGCGGGGCAACGCGCTCTACAAGGCCGGAAAATGGAAGTACGCGGCTAACAGGTGGGCGGGGAGTGGGAGGGGCTGGGTCTGGGGGGTGCGGCGCAACGGCCCGCTCTTGCGCTTGCGCTTGTCTGGGACCAGGGTGTGCTCGTGCGCAGCTTGCGCGGCTGTCAATGTTGTACTGCGACACCGCGCCGCGGCCGCCGCCCGCAGCCGGCCGGCCTCATCCCCCCTCCCCCGCCGCTGGCCGTGGACGGCTGCGGCGAAACCGCCGCCCGGCAGGTACCAGCGGGTGCTGCAGCTGGTGGACTCGACGCGCGATTTTGAGGACGAGGCGACGGTGGACAGGGCCGACGCCTTCAAGCTGGCGGCGCTGGGGAACCTGGCCCTGGCGGAGCTGGGGGCGGGGGAGGCGGCGCGCGCGGTGGAGTGGTGCGACAAGGCGCTAAAGCTCGAGCCTGGGAGCGGCAAGGTGGGGCGCTTTGTGTGTGTGTGTGTGTGTGTGTGTGTGTGTGTGTGTTTGTGTGTGGTGCGCGAGCTCTTTGGAGTTTGTGCGTTTAAGGGCGGGGAACACTGAATTGTACGGCGTCCTGCTGGCTGCAGCAGCGTGCAGTGTACGGGAGGAGGGTCCGCACGGTGACCGCAACGTGTTACCCGCCGCTGAGGACGGATGCAGGGGGGGGCCTGTTGCCGCTGCCGCAGTGGCTACTGCGTTTGCCGTGGCGGCTGCCTGCGCGCACTGAAGACGGCTGTTCGACCCTGCATCGTTTCCTGCCAGCCCTACCGGCCTTGCTTGTGGTTTAACTTGGGCTCACCGGGTTCTGCCCCCTCACCTCTCCACACTTTGTCTGACGCCTGCTCCCCCTCCCCCGCAATGGCACGCCAAACCACCCAACTCATTCCTGCTCCCCCCCCCCAAGATCATGCTGCGCAAGGCCAAGGCGCTCTCCCTCAAGGGGGACTTTGAGGAGGCAGAGGAGCTGCTGGCGGCGGCCGAGGGCGCGGACGCGGCGCTGAGGGCGGACGTGGAGCGAGAGCGGGCAGTCAACAAGCAGCGGCTCAAAGCAGCGGAGGAGAAGCAGCGGAAGGGGTTTGGGGGTTTCTTCAAGAAGTGATGTCGCCGCGTAATTCGTTGCGTCGGCTGGCCTCAATGAGGCAGAATGTGCAGTTTTCGTTGTTTGACGTTGATGCCAGCTCGTCGCAATCAGTTACTGTGTTTCGTCTCTCATCAACGATCGCAAAAACCAGCAGTGGGCACACGCGCGAAGCGCGCACCTGCCACCTCGGCGCGCCTGACAGCCGAGGGCGCACCAGGCCCCGGCCGCGCCGGCTTGGCTAGCCCTGCCAACAAAACAGGGTAACAACTCAACACAACACGCTCTTCTCGGGTTTCTTGCCTGCACTATGAAACTCAAACACTCTTCCTGCAGCTCCAGCCAGCCACCAATCCAACTCCCAAGGCCCAGCTGCACCAAACCGGGGGCGCAGATCCCCTCAGCGCCTCTGGCCTGCTCGTGTGACTGTCGGGAGGGCCCAGCTGTCGCAACCTGCCATCCGGGCCGCTGGTGGCCTACGCAGACTTCACATCGGCAGCGCCGCCGCCGGCGTCGCCGCGGGCGTCGGCGCCGATGGGGGCCGACTCGTCGTCCGGCAGCGCCGCCGGGTCGTCTTGGAAGTCAAACGGCAGGCCGGAGCCCTGCAGATGACAAAGGCGGGGTTGTGGGAGGGGAATTGGGAGGGCGGGGTGGACTCAGAGGATGCTGCAGCTTGCTGGGAGGGCGCGTGGTTGCGTGGGCGGGGGTGAGCCCGGCCAGCGGCAGACGTGATGCGCGGGGGCCGGCACGCGGCGCGGGGATGTGCATATGCGGGCGACGGCACCGTGGGCTAGAGGCGAAGACCCTGAAGCCGGCGTTGGGGTGTTGGCGTTGGCCGCTGACACCATGCTTTGGCAATGATGTGGGCGTTTGGTGTTTGTGTTTTGGGGGGGTGCCCCGCTCCCATTATTGACACAATTACCATCTATCCGCATTCGCGTCGACTTTCCAATGTGCCTGTTTTTGCCTCAATCGCCCCTAAAAACCCCTAAACCCCACAAAAAGGCATCACTCCTGCTCCTGATCACCTGCTTCTTGTACTCCTCGAGATCAGACTCACTCAGCTGCTTGGCAAAGCCCTCCATGCACAGGCTCTCGGCGGAAGAGTGCTACGGGGGGGTGCAGACGGGCGAGACGGCGGGCGAGCGAGCGAGCGCGGCCGCGGGCGTCCGCGTCGTGCACCTAGCAAAGGCCCGGATTCGCCTCACATAGTGTTAACGACACTGCAGCACGGCTTCACTGCAGCACGCCTTCAGTGAGACCAAGTGATACCGCCACCAGCGCGCACACGGCACAGCCGCCGGTGCAGGCCGCACGGCGCGCGGAATCGGCAGCTGCGAGCGCCGCCGCGTCCGTGCCCGGGCGCTCCACGGCGCGGCTCCGCGCAATCAGATGCATGCGAGCAAGCCAGGTTAGTAGCAGGTGCGCGCCCACCTGTTCCCCGCCGGCGGTTTCGGCCACGGCTGCCTTCAGGTCATTGGGCAGTGCCTCAAAGCTCTCTGCCCTCAAGACCTCGTGGGCCAGCCGCTCGCGGTCGTCCTCGCCGCCGCCGGCCGCGCCCCCGGTGACGTCACCGGCAGCGCGCACGGCGGCGAGCGGGCGGCGGGGGCGCAGCGCGGGGCGCGCGGGGGCGGGGCGGGCCTTGGAGGGCGCGGCGGCCGCGCGGCGTGCGGCGGAGTGGGACAGCATCATGGTTGCCGTTTGATGCGCGGCGAAACAACCAAACGAGGGAAACACTAAGGATCTGGTGGGCTCAGATGTGTTCTGCAGCAATGTGATGATCAGAGCAAGTGTGCAAGCCTAATCTTGTGCTTCTGGCAAAAAAGCATCATCTTTAATTGTTGCGCTGCGCGCTGTCAAGCTGATGGCTCCAGATTCCGTCAATGCTGTCATCAGGCACGCATGAGTCATCGCCCGAGGCTTGGTCACACTACACCTCGCCACATCGGCGCCGCGGCGCACCACCATATCGCAAGCAGGTGGTGACCAAAATCTTTGCTACGTGCGAGGCCACTCAGGCGCCAAAGCACGCACACCTGTCGCAGTGTTCGCCTCGCCGGACTGCTGTGCCCGGCAGGCGCCGCGGCCGCCAGCGGGTGAGTGCGCCTGCAGACCGTCCGCGCGGCCGCTGCTCTCCTCTTGGGCGTGGCACACACACACGCGTACCAAGCAATTGTAGCTCAACCTGATCATGTGACCCGACCGAGGCGTCATCCTCACAGCTATGCATTCGAAGCGATGCGAAACAGGGCGGATGGCAGTGCCGGGCAGTACCGGCCGCAGCGCGGAATCTACGACGTAGCAGTGCTGCAGGACCCCACATCACTGATATAATCATAATAAGCGCGTAATATCCATAGCGACTCCGTTTATGCAGATACCAGCGATTTCACGACAGCCCGGCTGCCGCAACGGGATCGGGATAGCGTACAAGTATCTGGTGTACCGCAGCTTTACGCGTGAGGCTTAATTTATGTGTCCTTGAGGGTCGGCTCAGGGGATCAACCACACCCGTCCTTGAAGGTCAGCTCAGGGGGCGCACACACCCGTTTCAGCCTGCGGCGATTACTCAACCCTCAGGTTGATGGACACTTGCTGGTCGGCGGTGGCGATGAGTTGCAGTCATATCAGGCATGGGAGCTGGGGAACGGCCCAAACGGCGCAGGCATTCTCTATGACGATCTTCACCGTTCCGAGCAGCTGCTGAGGGAGCGCAGCGGATACGCCGCGGACGGCAACACAGGCTGGCTCGCCGCATCTTGAGGGCTCGCCGCACCTCAAACAGGGCGCTCACTTAGGTCTGAATTGGCTGTGCCACACCTCATTTGGCGTGCCTGCGTGTTGGTTGCGGGCGGGTCCGCCCATCACGCAACTTGCCTTCCCCCGCTACGCACCGCCAGCTGCGGCTGCTCTGACGCGGCCTGCTGTGCCAGTGAGTCTGTGTGAACTGCTAGTTGCTGGTGTGTGCTCCTGCAGCCATCCAGCCTATGGTTACAGTGCCCTCTTGACCCAACTCGCTTCATGCAAGCTCCCCGGGACACTCCACAACACGTGGCGGCGACCGCTGCCACGTGGCGGCGACCACTGTGGTGCCCGCCGGGATACGCAGTGCCGCCGGCAGACGGTGGATGAAGCGCCCCTTTCGCTCCCCTGGTGCACCTCTTGACAGCAAGCGCAGGACAACAAGCACGGCCAAAAGAAAGGCTCTGACTGCCATGCATACCCACCCCTCAACTGTGTGAACAGGACTCACTGTGCAGGTGGTTATTGAGTTCAACTTGGCCATCATCGTCCCATCCAACTGACTTCGACTCAATGTATCAGAGGTGTACTTTTGTTCGACGCACAAAATGAATGCACTGGAACTCAACATTGCAACTCTGCCCGCAACTCGCAGCTCGCCCGCCACGGTCAAACACACACCCAGCCCTTGCCGCAACGCGTCACGCCGGCGCCGGCGCCGCCGCGGCCGCCGACCCTTGCTGCTCCCGCAGCAGCTTGCACTCCAGCTTGTGCACCAGCTTCCAGTGATCGGTCTGAAGGCGCAATGCGGGAGGGGCAGGGGTACACAATTCATATCAAAACGGGAAGGCACCATTAATCTACAGAGACACACCAAAACGCGATACATGAATGCTTGAGGCATGGCATGCGTGACACATGCCTTGAAAGCACCAGCCCCACCCCGCCCGCCGAGAACACCTGTGCCCACCTGGCACTCCTTGCTGCAGTAATGCACAGTGTGGCAGGCTGAGCAGGACGACAGCTTGGCAAACAGCCCGCCGCAATTCGAGCACCTCTTCGGCAAACGCGCCGCCCCCTGCGCCCCAGTGCCCGTGCTCGGCCCCGCCGCCGCCGCCGTCCCCGCCCCCGCCGCGCGGGCGTGAACGC